GGAAACACGTAGCCAGGGGGGCTAGCAGTGATTTTTGGGATTTCGCAGACGGGATAAAATTGAAGCAATTAAAAGAAAAGAACAAAGATGAAAAAAGACATTTAATCCTATGCTATCCCTATCCGTTGCAAGGCAAGCTAGCAGAGACTCTTGCCGCATCGCCAACATCAATTGTTATCATCAAACGAGACTCCAATCACCATAAGATCTCTACTGGCCCCTTTTCAGATATTGTTGCCCCGCTCGGAGCTGAAAGATATTTTTTACAAATGCCTGTCCGCTTACGGATTTTTTTGTTTATGAACATGGTTTTCTGGCCACAGCCAGGATCATTTTTGGAAAACGGAGCTTCTAGTGAGTCTTAGCTGTAGCCATGCTAGCAGGGATTCTTTAGGAATTTTTCGCTTTTCGCTTATTAATTTCTTTGAGCCGCCTGAGATCAATGTTTTCCCTTTGAAAATACAGTATTTTTTTTTCGTATAGGCAGGCCAGCAGCGATTCTTCAGGAATTCCGACTTGGTACCTGAAGTCTCCAGGGTCTTCAGGGGTGCTTGAAAAAATGCTTGTGGGCGCGGGCGGCGGGGGCATATTGTTTGATTTTGGAGGGATTTCCGGGGGGTGTTTGATATCAGAAAATCACTCCCTATCTCGCTCTGTCTCACTCACTCTCTCGCTTTCTCCTTTCCCTCCCCAAGGTGCTTCAGATTCAATCTTCCGCTTCCCGGATCCGCATCCCGCCCCCCTTCAAGAAGCACTGATTGTTTGTCTGTCTGTCTGTCTCTGCCTCTCTCTCTCTCTCTCTCTCTCTCTCTCTCTCCCCGTCTATTTGTCCTTTGTCCTCCCCCTTCCCATCATGAGCCCAATTCCTTCCCTGCGCGGTTCCGTTCCCTCCATTCCGCGCGGCTTTCTAAAGCACACCCCCAACTACCGTAACCCTCGCCCCATGGAGTGCTCCAGGGCATTTCGTTTTCGAGGCCGGTTTTCGTGTAAAGTATGCCTATACCTCGAGATACCTTTTTGAGCTTAACCTTACCAGTTGAAGTTGGTGGTATTCTTAAAGAACGTCTGCTAGCCTACCCTTACAGGCCAGTATTCAGAAAGCGTTTCGTGACGTCGTACTGGACTATTAGCGGGGGCCGGGGGGAAGCAATTTTTCCCATTGATCCTGTAAGGCCTTGTAACGAAATATAACAACAATTTTTATAGAATTCACACCGTTCCTAGACACATAAAATACTAAAGAAAATTATAAAAATTTGCTCAAAATTTTTGTTTTCAAAAACTTTTGCTTTTCACAGCTTTTTTAACGATCAAAAAATGTTAAATACATGATAAAAATACAAACCCCCCTTCCCCCGCTAACAGTCCAGTACTCGCAGCACTTGAACACAATATTTTTGCAGCTATCTTGGTGCTTTTACTAATGGTTTAAAGCAGTTTTTTTTTCTTTGACGGTTATTAATTTTTCTACCGTACCCCCGTATACTTCCAGGAATCGAAAAATTTTCTCTGCTAGGCTGCCCGTCCTGAGTTTTTGCAGCTTGAAACGAATCGTAATAAGCCCGTCTTGCCGCTGATATAAAAAAAAATACGAGAACCCTAAAATTTTGATGAAGAAGTTTCGAAAACCCCCACGCTTGTGTCCTGATTTTTCATGCAAATCAGTGTTTCATCGGGGCGCTTCCTCAATTCGAGTGAACTCACGATAATTCAGCGACGGGTTGTTTCTACAATGTGAAAATTTATATTTTTGCCAAGATGAATGCATTACCTTCATCGGGCCTTAAGTCGGCGGCCGGTCGTTTCCTCAAGAATCTCTGCAAGCCTGTCCATTAATAGCCTTATCTTATCAGTACCCGTTGTCATAAACTTTTTTTGATGAACCCTTTTAATTTCAATTTTATGGGCAAGGCGTGCTGGGTTTGGTACTTATGGATACGCCATGGATTTTGCCGCATCGCGACACGCAACGCGCACCACCCTTGACCCTCGTCAACGGATTCTAATCGGTTACGCAATGGAAAGAGAGGCCTGCGCGTTGCGGGTCGCGTTTCGCGGACTCCGCAAAATCCATCGGCGAAATTATCAGCACCAAATCCATAGCCTTGCCCGTACCTTTAAATGCAAAATTTAGTTTGCCAATAAATGTTTTGAGTAAAAATGTTTTAATTTTTGAGGGTTCGATGACAATTCGTTTATTATGTTTGCAAAAACCATTTTTTAAATATTGGTACCACCGTCGTTAAATTTTGCCAATATTTTAGCTGACTATGGCTATACAAGAATTAAGAAGCCACCGCGCCCACTTATGACTTGAAAATTTGAAACATTTTTTAAACATGTATTTTCGAGAATTTTTAGTGCTTTTCCCAGTCGCCGGTTTCGCAATGATTCCAAATCTACAATCAGGATTTTGCAAGAATTTTGCAGTTGCACTTTGTTTTTTGTTACTGGGCTATTAGCGGGGGGAGGGGTAGCAGGCCGGAGCCAGATTTCCCCGTTATCCTTCACGGCCGCACACAGAATTCTTGGGTAGTTTTGTAGTTTTTTTTACATAGTTTTCAGCATTAAAATCTTATAAAATGATTACCTTTGTGAAAAAAATTGAGGGTCGGGTTCAAAAATGTATGCAAAATAGCCAAAAAATGCCTAAATTTCCGAAATTTCAAATTTTTGGAATATTACCATCATTTTCTAGCCATAAAAACTAATAAAAACCCCATAAAAATATAATATAGATTATCGACAGGTGCTCGGGAAAACAAAAGATCTCATCCGCTAAAAATTACCCCCCGCTAAAGGACCAGCACCCCCTTTTTGAGCAAAGGGTTCGACCCCGAAAATACAAATTTAGGCTTCCTATCCCCTTGAAGCGTGGAACCCCAATGTTTCAGGCGGGCCTATTAGTATTGGTTTAAAGTGTCGCTCTCTCGCTCTCTCGCTCTCTCTCTCTCTCCTCTTTCTCTCTCTCTCTCTCTCTCTCTCTCTCTCTTTTCTGCTGATATTTGTATTTGATGTGCGTGCAGGGAGGGGTTGGTCCACTCCTCCAGGGCGTCCGTTCCCCCCATCACATCTGACAACCCCTCCATCGCCCTCTTTTCCCTTTGAAGCCTCAGGGCACTTTCTACAGATGAGGAGATGGACAGACAGACAGACACATAAACACACACACAGACAGAGAGACACACAGCAACGTTCAAGCCTTCCGAACACCCCCCGCCACACCCTTTACGATGGATTTGAGAGGGGGATTTTTACGGATTTTAAAGAGAGTTGAACAGCTACCGTACTCCCAAAGAATCTCTGCTGGCCGGCTTCTTTTGAATAGATAACCGCTACCGTATTCCTAAGGAATTTTAGCAGGTTCGCCTCACTTTAGCCCTTACTCTGACGACTGTCTCGCTATCTCTCTCTCTGGTTTTCTCTCTCTCGCTCTCTCTCTCTCTCTAGCTGTATCTTTAGTGCTATTAGTGCGACAATCAACATCATACGAATAAGGTAATTTAGGCGTCTCTGGACATTTTAAGGGAAGCGTGACAGCTGCCTCTTATCCACAAAAACCTCTGCCAGCTAACCAGTTCGTATGTTTCACTCAATTCGCTTATCTTGGAATCCTGGTGTACCCCAATGCTATATTCCCTTTTTCTGAGGGCTTCCAAAAGAAACTTTGCAAGTTGGCGTGTCCAACATACGATATTAGTGCCCGTTTATCCTTGGGTTTTTCGTTCGTTTGCCCTAAGAATCTCTGCTAGCTTGCCTCAAGCGTCAATTTTACAATGAGCGACCAGTACCCGCCCGGCCCACCGTAACTCGGTCAATCTGATCAATTTTCATCATTAAAACGTCTAGAATGACCAAAATTCGATGAGGATCTCAGAAACAGCATCAGAATTTTGAAATTGCAGCGTTTTTCCGTCCAAACAAGGACAAGAGATCGTGCGACGCGGTCGCGTTAAGGTCGCTTCTGGCAATTTGCCAGGAGTCAACGCCAGGGGCGTCCGGCTTCGGAGCCCTTTAAAATTAGCACGGATCGGCTCTTGTCTCTCTCTCTAGAGCGTGGTATCTCGTCCTTTTCTGAAACGCACTTCCGGCTGGCCTATGCCAATCGTCGATGAGCCCTGATTCTTTTTCCTGATCCCCTCAAACCTGAACCCTGGACGTTGTGCGAGCTTCCTAAAAAATTCTGGCTTGCCTGCCAGCCATTCGTTCGGCCGGTAGTGAAATTGTCAGATCTCGCATACATGGCAAACTATCTTCTGCCCCGACAACGCAGCTTGCAATTTTTTTGGAACATATGATTTTGCAATTTTTCGTTCACAACTGGAACCAGTAACAAGTAAAAATCGACTAAATCCCTGAATCATCGAGATAGGACGAGATTTGGTGGAACACATTCATTTTAAGGCAGTCTTCAGCGCATAAGGAAAAATATGTTTCCTCAAATTTCAATGACGAACTTGAAACGCACCTATGCATTGAGCGTCATATCCGACCTTTTAATTTTTAAATTATTGGTTTTAATTTCACTGTACCAACAATAAATATGCTAAAATAACTAAAAGGAAAAAATGCAGTATCAAAAACAGAGGGGCAACATTAATTAATTGTGAGACTATCGGCAGCATTGATTTGTCTTAAATTGTCTCTATGATTTGTCTCTTCTTTTCCAACTAATTTCTGTTTGATTTTGACCCTTTTTATGTCGCTTTTAAATTAATGTAATTTGTAATGGTTTCCCATGAATAAAAATGGGCTAAATTTTTTAATTATTGCTACATGAATAGCCAATAAAAATTGGTATCGCGTGTTCGCACCTGATCTGGATTTTTCATGAAACACATTTTTCAAAATAATTTAGTTTTCTTTTTCTTGACTTTTGTTTTTCTTTTCTTTATTTTTCGCTTTTTCTGGCACTTTTAAACATTATTAAATCTTATTTTCTAGCGCACAGTAGCGGCACATTTACCGCAAAATCGATAAGCCAGAAAACCCCGGTGGAAATGAGGCTGCTGTGCATCGGGCTGGTCGCCCTTGCCTTGGCTGTTGGCGCAAAGGTAAGGAAAATTTGTTGTTATTTTATTTTTATTTTCTTCTTAGTTATTAATCACTTTATTTTTATTATTTATTTACTTGATGCTCGCTACAATATGCATCCGGTGCTCGCTCGCCACTTATTCAGGGCTGAAACACGCTTTTTTCGTGGCGAACCAAGATTTTGTAATATGGATCCAGGACGTTTATACATTGTTTTTAACCATTCCTGAGCAAAAGAAAACCTTATAGACGCGCAATATTTCTTAAAAACCAAATTTGACATCGGTAAAATCTATTTTTCCAGCCAAAAATGAAGAAAAAATGAAATTTTCGTACTTTTTCGAACTTTTTAATAGTTTTTGGATTGTAAATAGCGCTTAAAAAATGACAATTATATAAATAAATCATATAATAACACTTATATCCATTACCTCCAACAACCCGAAAATTATCAGGATAATTAATTTGATGTTTCAACCCCATCTGATGACACACACGCTCGAAAACTGATAATCCGGGTAAAACGACTATGTAGCTTTAGCGACTATGTAAAAACGGTTCCAACTTTTTGCGCTTTTTTTAACTGCCATTAATGCGCAAAATGTAATAATAACGAATCAAATCAAAATCGAAATGCGTATTACTAATATTTTTACGAAAATTTAAATAACTTTATTTCCAGGACGCCTCGGCGGAAAAGACGGTCACTGACAAGGTGACGGAAGCCCCTGCAACCACTACAGTAATCCCGGAAGCTACAGAGGGAACTACGGTAGGTTTTTATCAACCTAAACTAATAAAAACAGTTCCGAAAAAAAGGAACCGTCCTCTCTTGCCCTGGAAAAAAGGAGGTTTCGGAAATTGGGCTTTTCTGAGTTTCCATAAAAAACTGAATGAGAAGAACGGAATAGCTAGTAGTTTACTTCGAAGTATTTGGAGAATGTCTTAATTGGTTACTTTCAAAAAACGAAATTCATAATGTTGAAATTTCGAAGTTTACCTCGTTTTAACTAAAACGAAATTATACCCAAGAAACCCGCAAGTCTCAATTTTTTTAGGCATTACGAGCAAGGGCACATTATAAAATTCCTTTTTACATTTTTGGGAGAAAATTTGAAACACAATTCTTGGCTGGAAAGCGGCTTAAAACTTTTTAAAACGACCTTGCCCCGGATTTTTTGGGAAAAAATGTTTTTAAAAAAGACATTGCTGGGAATTTCTCGATACCTACAATCCGCGTATGTTCGCATTTTTGATACCTAAATAAATGGTTCAATTCAGGGAGAAATAGTCCTTGTTTACGGATAAAAAAATTCATGATTCTTTATTTTTATTATCATTCTTAATTATTATACAATTTTCATAAAGCTAATCTTCGTGAGGATCGGGTGTTACTGATAAAAAAGTAACACGACGCATAATAAATAAATAATGCATAGCTAGTTTGAAGGATTGAAAATCTTTGTTTTTTAAGCTTATTTATTTGTGATCGGTTTTTACTTATTATTTGCTTTATTTTCTATTAAAGTTTTCTAGAATTTTCTTGGAAATCGGATGTTTCATAAAAAATGGTCGGGAAGATGCATTTTCTAAAAATAATTTCGTTTCGGAGTAGTCTAGAGTTGTATCATTTCATCTTTTGCAGTCGGAAACCGCGAAATTTATCTTGTTTTTAGACAAATCTTTGCACTATTTAGTTATCGTTATTATTATCATTTATCTTTCTAACCGGGATTAATCTAGAATTTTCTTGAAAATCGAATGTTTCACGAAAAATAGTATAGAAACCGGTTTTCAAAAAATAAGTATGTAGCTCCGTTGTAAGGTATAAAATTTCAACTCTTTGAGGCGGAAACCGCGAAATCGACGGAAACGCCAGTAGTGGATGGAGGAGAAGCCGAGGCCACCACAGCTGACAACTCTAAAGGAGATGAGAAGGCGCTGAAGAAGCTGTCGCGAGCCAAGCGACAGTGCTGTTTTGCCGCCCAGAATAACTGCTGCGCCCCGCAGAGCAATCAGTGCAATTGTCAGGCGCTGCAAATTCAGGTATCATTTTTATTGATAGTTTAAAGGTATATGAAGGATTTTACGAATTTTTGCGGGTATTCTGTATAATTTGAGGAACTTTATTAGAGGTATTTAAAGACATTTGGGCCGGCAGCCGCTAAAAGTTTTGTTTTTGAATAAGAAGTGACGCTTATCATAATAAAAATAATATTGACTAATACAAAAGTACGATAATAACATCTGATGGGTAATAAGAAGTTATAAAAGTACTTAAAACGGCCTGGGACGTATCGCATGGCATTAGTGACGGGCGAACCGATTTTTCCAATAATCCCGGACGACCCTATCGCAGATACACACATTTTTAGCATTAAAAATAGCACATTTTGCACATTTTTCAGTTATTTTAAAACATAAACATAAAAACTTTTGAAAAATATGGATATGTGTGAGTTTCGTTTGTTATATCCATTAATCCTACTATATATAAAAAAATAGTGTCTGTGTGTGTGTAGACACTTTGCATAAAATCCCGGGTTCCAGTCATAACTCGAAGGGGAAAGGATTTTTTGGCCCAGAAGTAAGGTAGTTAGGGGTAGTCGAGGGCGTAGATTACTGCACGCTTATCAGATTTTTACTAAAATTGCGTTTTATACCTGATTTTAACGTTTTTAAAACATATGGAAATAGAGCAATTTGCATAGGAGAGATAATTCGGCTCATTTTGGGCCTTGCGAGGCTCGGAGTCGGTTGCTCACGTAATTCCGGTGGTTTCGGATGTTTAACGTAATTGATTTAAATTATAATATGCAAAACCCCCGTGTATGAAAGGTCCCCGCAAAGAGGCCAGGGGTGAAAAGTCGCGTAGCGGCTTTTCAACCCTGGTTATCCATTAATTTTTCACGCTCTGTAGCCAAATTTTTTGAAACATATTTTTTTGCCGAGGGTAGAAGTAGTCTGTAGAGTCTGTAGATACAGATCTTTCTTATTGGGTAAAGTAAAAAAGTTTCAAAGACTTCCACGGTCCAAAAAAAAGTAAATCTAAAAAATCTTGTGTTTTAGGTGCAACAATGCGACTGCGCGAATATGCTGCAACAGCAATGCGGCTGCCAGGTCCAGTCTTCCGGCTGCAACTGCCCGGCCCTTCAGGCTCAATATTCGAGCTGCGGCTGTGGAGCGCTTACCTATCAGGTATTACCGATGGTCAAAATGCCGAAATTTCGAGATTCCACGCCTTCAAAGTCGAAAATACTGAAATCCTACTGTCTTGCAACAGCAAAAATCTGCTCGAAACGCAGAAAACGAAATTCCAGGAAGACAGAATTTTTTGTTTTGACAATTTCATTTAATGAATTACGTATTTGTCTTTTATAAAATGGACAAATTCTCTCTTTTATTTAAAAAATGTTAATTTAATTTAGTTTACCAAGCGTCCAAAGCGCCGTTAGTTTTGAACCATCCATGAAAAAAACTCCAGGAAACTTCAGAAAAAAATGTGCCTATTGCAAATTTCGACAGTCGGCATTTTTGGAGTCGTCAATTTCGGCATCGTGAATTCCGACATCATTAATTACTATCGAAAAGATCCACGCTTTGTTTAAATTACGACTTGCGATAGAATTTGCGATGTTTCGAACCTAGGCTGGGCTACAGCAAGATCAAATGTAACAGTACCTGCTGGGAACGTGTACAATTCACTTCGCTCGAATTAGACTCGGAAAGGCGGTGGCTCTGCCTTCCCACTCCCTTTAAAACCCCCCTTTTCTCAGGTCTCCTGCTCGCAATGCCAGTCCCAGCCGACGTGTGCCCCTCAATGTATGCCGGCCTGCGCCCCCAGCTGTACACAGGTGTGTCGTGTAGTAAAATCAATTCATGGAGGAAAAACCGTCATTTTTTGGTGAATTCAAATGTAAGCAAGTGGGTAGGCTAGCAGAGATTCCTTGGGAAAATTTCGTTAATTTATTTCTCGGCAAAATCTAAGAGAAGAGGCAGACACTTTCAGCAAAAGATGTTTCAAAAATGCAGCGGGAATGTAGCAGAATATTTTAGGGAATGTAAGCAGTTTGTCGGCTCTAAGGCCTTGCAGTTTAGCATTTACCCTCGGCAAATGTGAAATTGGGCAATCTAGCAGAGCTCTTTGTGGAAAAGTGTTCCAAAAACAGTTCACCCGACAAGGCGTACATTTTTAAGGAAGCGTCCAAGAAGATATGTTTCAGAAACAAATTACTTTTTTGAATAGTAGCGTTGTAGCAATTTCTTTGGCTTCGTTTTTGAAAAAACCAAAAATAAACGAAAATATTCCAAGGGAATGGACTGGCTCCGGTTTCAAAACAGAGGGAATCTAGCAAAGATCCTTGAGGAAAACCCAAAGTCCGCGAAGTTCGTATGAACCTGTTTGGGGAAATGATGTTTCAGAAACAAAATGTTACCTTTTTTGATAATTTTAAGGAATTTCATAAATTTGGCTGACCCACATAGATCGCAAAACAACGCAAAGTCGAGGCCAAAAAAATTATCGAAAATGGAACATAGATGCAAAATTCCTGCTGGAAAAACGTTACAAAAATAAATCGGTGTCCCCGAAGATTTTGTTAAAGAATATCTTCTGTTTTGCCAGCTTTGTAGCTCAAATTCCAGCAGCAGCAACCGATCATCATCGTCCAGGCCCCACAACAGCAATGTGCCCAGCAATGCATGCCCGCCTGCCAACCGCAATGCGTTCAACAGGTAGCGTATTGTAACGTGCCGTAGCATAGCATAGCCTCGCGGCATTCGGTAAATATGTTTTAATGCATGGTATTATTCGGCGTTTTGAAAACGTCTACAATTTGTTCTCGATCCCTCGGATCACTTTAAAACTGAGAAATTCCTGGCATTAAAGTTAAAATTTAATTTTCCTATTATTTTTAAGTCATGCGCACCCGCTTGCCAGCCAATGTGTGCCCCATCATGTGTCAACCAGCAGCAGCAACAAATTATCATCGTCCAGGTATGAAACATTTTATAGCGTTTCCCGAAATTCCCTAAAAATAAAAATTGCGCTCATGATAAACAAATTCGTTTAATTACGCTTGCACGCTTCTTGAAAACATGCATAATTTGGCCTAATTTATGTCACAAAAATGAACTATTCTTGCCAAAAAAATGTGTCGGGGTTAAGGGGTACTCAAAAGTTTGGATCTCGAATAGTTGAGCTCCGTCATCAAATTGCTAGTGGTTTTTGAGTACGGGTGTGTATTCTCAAAATGCAGCAAAAATAAATACATTTGAACGCTAATATCATTAAAGTTGAAGTTAACTTGCTTTAGTTTAACAAATCTTCCTAAAAACGAAAAAGATAGTAGAAAATATGTATGTAGTGACTTGAAAAAATATGAAGGAGATGAAAACTTTTTAAATCAGACAAAACACCAATTCAAAAATTAAAAAAATGCTTCAACATCGCAAAGTAAAAATTCAGAAAGTTAATGCCCAGTGGCGAAATGTTTGCAAATTGATGTTTCAGCGAAACCTGTATTCTGGAATTTTGTATACTGAATAATGAGTAGAAGGGCTACAGCGGATCCCAAATTTTTTACTTAACGTCACTTGATTTCGCCCGTTCAATTCTCAATTCAAATCATTTTCAGGCCCCACAACAGCAATGTGCCCAGCAATGCATGCCCGCCTGCCAGCCGCAATGTGTCCAACAGGTAGCGTAACGTAACGTGCCGTAGCGTATCAGTCCGAGTAGCATATCATCTTTTTAAAATTTGTGCTGTTTCGTAAATTATCGTAGCGTACCGTAGGGCATATCACCGCTTCGTATTATAACGTAGCGTAGCCCGGCGTGCGGTAGTGTATTACAGCGTACTGTATCATATTGTAGCGTGGACCAGCGTATCGTAACGTATGGGACGGCGCCTAACGTACCGGCGTGTAGTGTATAGTGTAGTGCAGCGTAGCTTAGGGTGGCTCAACGTAGCGCAACATTACCTAACGTAGCGTATCTTAGCTTATGGTAACGTAGCGTAGCGTAACGTAGCTCATAGCCAGGCCCGTAGCGGAACCGAAATTTCGGGGGGGGGGGCCCAAAAATTTTGGCGACCTCCCCCCGGTCGCCACTTTTAAAACATCCGAAAATCGCGTCAATAATAGCGCCGCAGGCAAAAAAATTGCAAAAAAGCGTCTGCTACAGTCAAATTCGTGTGAAAACACGGCAGAAAACGCGCCGCAAGCGAAAATTTTTATGAACCATTGATTCACTAATGAAAAACCAGCGCCAAAAACCAAAACCGTAACCAAAAATTTTGAAAAAATAGGCTTCATATAAGTAAAAACTGTTCGAAAAACAGTAATAAACAGCGCCGCAGGCTGAAAAATTTTTGTAACTAAAAATCATAAGGGTCCCCCCTTATGAATTTTTCGGACCTCGACCGATTTCGGGGGGGGCCCAGGGCCCCCTGGGCCCCCCCCCCCCTCCTACGGGCCTGCTCATAGCATAACGTGGCGAATCTCGGCGTAACGTAGAGTATTCTAACGTAGCTTGACATCGTTCGACGCGGGGGTAAGGTAGAGTATTATAGCGTATAGTAGCGTAGCAGAGCGTAGTATGATTTTGTTTTGTTTTTTTGAAAAGACGGAATCTATGAGCAATTAAGCCCCTAGCCGATTCATAAACCCGCAAAACCCATGACACATTGGTTTATTAAAACTATCATGGAATATAAATTTTTCTAGTAAAGAATGTAGTAAATAAGTAAATAATGGTTCAAGTAGTTGTTAAAAACTGGAGTAATTCGTGGAGATTAAAATTTTAATGTTTTAAATGCGTTTAATTCGTCCTTTTTAGGCTTGCGCCCCGGCGTGCCAGCCAATGTGCCAGCCGACGTGCGTGAACCAGCAGCAGCAACAGGTCATCATCGTCCAGGTATTTTTGGTTTTACTTAAAACGAATTTTCTCTTGTAAATACAGTGCGCGTGGAATACGTTGACAATTGGCCCTAGTTATATATGAAAAACACACTGAAAATCGAAGACTTGAATTGAAATACTTATGTTTCAAAAAACCCATCTACCAACTTTTAATTTCAGTTGTGAATCCAAGCGGTTGGGAAATGCCAAAAAATTAATGTAAAAAAGTTTAAATTTTATTATTTTATTAACTTTTCAACGCAATTGATTTTGTTTGTATTAAATTTTAGTGGTAACTATTTTTACGTAATTTTTATCTTGAAGGATTAATCGTAAATTTATAAGTTTTTATTGAATTAATGTTTCGAAAAATTAGCTCTTTTTTGATTATTTTTTGGTCATAATCGAAGGCCCCCGGGATTGGAAGACCATTTTCACACCGTTATTTCGGGCTCGATTTTTTCTAACAGTCACTACGGAACCCAAAAATGATATTAAACCCTCATTTAATTTAATAGATAAAATAGATCAATTCTAATTTTTTTCAGCAACAACCGCAGCAGCAGCAGTGTGCCCCGTCCTGCATGCCCGCCTGTCTGCCCCAGTGCACCAGCGTCAGTTTTTAAAATCTAATTCTATATCATTAACTAAAGACATAATTTCACGGCACATAAATTGAAAATCATCATTTTTAAGCACCTGGTTGAATAACATTATTAAGCATGCCACTTAAAATTTATATTTGCACATTTTGAAACATGACGAAAAAGAATAGCTTCGGTGAATTACTATTATTTTCTGATTTTGTTTTTACATGTAAAAAAATGTCGATTAAACCAAATCGCAAAACCCTATTTTAAATTTTTTGAAACATTAAAATTTTTCCAAAGAAATAAAATTTCAGGGCTGCAACTCGAACAACTGCAACAACAACAACGACCAGCAGATTATCATCGTTCAGGTGATACCGCGATTTTTAATGATAAATTAACTAACAATTATCGTAAAAAATCTTATGTTTCAAGTTTAAACTTGTTAATATTGATTTTTCATTCATAATTTCCGACAACCCGCTACATCAATATCCTTTTCAGCAACAACCCCAGCAGCAACAATGTGCCCAGCAATGCATGCCCGCCTGCCAGCCGCAATGCGTTCAACAGGTATCGTGACGTAGCGTATCGTAGCGTAGTGTAGCGTCATGAATTATCGATTACAAGGGAAAGGGAGGTACTTTTGGTCCATGTTGGGAATCGATGGTGAATTAAAAACAATGGTGATCATTTAAACGTTGGTTTTTGTGGAACTCTCTTTTTGAAAAAAGGTTTTCTGCGTTTTAAAGTTTTTTTTTTTGCTAAAACTACGATCTTTCAAGCCAATTTTTTTTGCTTGCGGCTGGATCTGACAAAAACAAACCTTACCATCATACCGCAACACACCAAACAAAAATCGCAAAAAAAAAACACCGCTCCGGAAGCGAAATAGCAGAAATGCGTCAAATTTAAGGTCATTTTATTTAATTTTAAGGTTTAAGGTCATGTTTCGTAGTTATTTAATTTTGTAACTGGTTTAATAACTTCAAAGATATTTTAAAAACAAAGTTTCAAAAGGCTCAAACAGATCCTGAATTAAAAATTTCAGCTCCAACCCACCCAGTGCTTGAAACATTAGGCTTAAAAAGATTTAGCTTTAGTACCCCAGTAGCTATTATAAGGATCAAGTTACTGGATGAGGCGTGGTGAACTGATTGGGTTGATATACTCCGACAGAAGTTGGTACATCTGTGAAACATGTGTAAAAAAATGTTATTAAGGCCTGTGCCCCGGCTTGTCAGCCAATGTGCGACAACTCGTGCGTCTCCCAGCAACAGGCACAGATCGTTGTTGTTCAGGTACTCTATTTGATTAGAGCAGAAATATATTTAGTCACACTGGTTAATCACGAGAAATTAAAGCCAGATAGCGAGAGAGAGAGAAGGAGAGAGGGAGAGAGAGGAGAGAGAGAGAGAGAGAGAGAGAGAGAGCAAGAGAGACAGAAGAGCCAGAGAAAAAAGAGTCTCTTTCCATGTAGAAACTAACGTTCATATGTCAAAAAACATGTTTCAAAAAAATATCAGCCGGGTGTCGGCAAACACTATTAATTCCATCTCTTTCTTCGGCGAATTCAGCGAATTCTAGAAAAAATCTCCTGAAAATTAACAAATTCGATTAACTAAATTTACAAAAAAATAACATATACCTTTTATTTAATTAAAAACTAAAGTCGAAGCAATCATAATCCTCCTTTAACCGAAAAATTTTTAGCAACCGGCTCAGCAGCAGCAATGCGTTCAGTCTTGTATGCCCTCGTGCTCCTCCAGCTGCGTCTCCCAGGTTTGTACTTGAAACGTAAGCAGTTGTAGTCTGTAGCCTCGCGCGATCGATCGCATCGATTTTTCGCATCTCCAAAAACTCTCCGAGCCAGGTCAGAGGGGGGATTAGTCTTGTAAAAACCGACGAAAAATCCCAGAGCACTGAAACATTTTTTTGTTGAACATGCGTAAAAGAATTTGGTTTGATTTTCTTGTAATGTTTATTCGATGTCATGAAATTGTTATAATCCAAATTTTATTTTCGAAAAAGAAGCTTTTAAAATTTTAATTGATAATCTTCCCAACAATTCTAATTTGGCCGGATTGATTAGGCCACCGCGTTCGAGTCATAGTGGAGAAGCGAAACATTTTTCCAAAATAACTTTTTCCGAATCAGTGGAAATTCCAAATCTCAGCTAGTTAGGTCCATCGGTTTTGTCGCAAAAACACTCGTGACGGTGTTCATTGCAATCAGATTCACGGGTGGTGCTGTAGAGTCGAAACATTTTGTGGCAACAAAAACATTGCGTGTCAATTCCTGGATTGTCTCTGCTGTTCTGTTGATTCCAGGCATTTTAATAATCTCTGCTAGTTTGCCCTGTGACCTAAAATTTTTCCAAAAGGATCTCTGCTAGTTAGCTTGCTTATTTTTAACACTGGCTGGATATGGAGAACAAGTTCTCCGCAACTGAGACAGAATTGAAACATTTGTCTTCTGGCATATCTTGATCTTTTCTCAATTGCCCCTGCTATGCTGCCGTCTCCAAACAATTTAATGATCTTTGTCACTTTGCCCTGAGACCTAGAATTTTCCAAAAGAATTTCTGCTAGTTAGCTTGCTTATGTTTTTTTAAGAACAGGCTGGGAGCTGTCTATTAATTATACACAGCTTCGCCGCAAGTGTTCCGAAATTGAAACATTTTTCTTCTGTCGGGTCGTAATATTTCCGCAATTGTCTCTCCTTAACTGTCGACTCCAAGTTACGTAATGATCTTTGCCGGTTTGCCCTGCGACTTAACTTTTTTTCCAAAAGAATCTCTGCTATTCAGCTTCCTTATTTTTTGAAGACTTAATTTCGACCCTCCGATTAATTAGACACAGGTTCGCCGCACGTGGTACGAAATTGAAACATTTTTCTTCTATCATGCCGGCCGTAATAGTTCCTCAATTGTCTCTGCCATACTTTCGATTCCAAGCGTTTCATTGTAATGGCCTGTGCTATTTTTCCCGAAGCAGCATCATAACAACAATAGCAGCCAAGTCAGTGAGGAGTGGTGTAGAATCGAAACACCTTTTTCTAGGCAATAAGGACTGTTGTATCAGTTCCAAAATATGTGTGTACCAATATATCATACCGGCTCAGGTGAACTAATGGCCGCTGCTAGTTTACCGTTGATTTTACAAACGATCTCTGCTGGTTGGCTTCCACTTCAGTTTGATGAACTCACCAATATCCCGAAATTAACTATGCCCCAAGTGGCGGAAGGACGATTAATTAAATCCCGGCTCGTGAGTAGTGCTGTAGCATTGAAACATTTTTTGGCAACAGTCTTTGTCAGTTCCGCAATTGTCTCTGCTATACCGCCGATTTCAGGCTATTAATACCAGTTCGCATTTCGATTGCTGGCTGGCTTCCGCCGGGATTTTTAATTAAACGGTTCGCCGTAATAGACTAATTGGAGACTAGTTAGCGAGCAATGGTGTAGATTTGCAACATTTTTTATCAAAGAGGCTTGCCGTATCAATTCCTCAATTTCTCTGCTAGGCTGCCCACTCGATGTGAGCTAACGCTCACTGCTAAATTAATGATCTCTGCTAGTTTGCCCTTTGATCTAGCATTTTTCCGAAAGAATCTCCACTTCCGCCGGAATTTTTGATGAACTTTTGGCGTGGTTATTACTTGCGGTCAACTTGGCGAGGCGTGGCGTAGAATTGAAACATTTTTTACAACTGGGAGACGGCCGAGATCGGTTTCGAAGTCACAGCTAGACCCCGATAGCTAATGGTTTTGATAGCGTACGTTATTTAGAATTTCCACGGGTAATCTGTTGATGGCTTTCACTAGACTTTGAAGCTTTAGAATCCGACAATTAATGATGCCCTAATTCGCTACAAATGGTTTAGCGCCGAAACAATTTTTTCGAAAAATTTCCGTTGAAAGGTGTGTCTGTCCGTGTTACTCGTGAAATTAAGTTTGCCAAACTTTGCCGCAAGTGGCTCAGAATTGAAACATTTTTCGACAAATGACTCCTGTCGTAACACTTGCGTCTTTTCATTTTAATTTTAGTTTTTTAGTTTCTAGTTAGATTTTTTATTGAATGACTTTTCAACTTTGCCCCCTGGTGTGGGATTTCCCCAATAATCTCTGCTGGTTGGCTTCGACTCTATAGGTCCATGCGCGATTAGGCAACACAAAATTAATTATGCCATGGTTACCCACAAATGCTTCGAAACTGAAGCATTCTTTAAAAAAAATTTCGAACGAGGATTCCGCTTCCTAAATGTGTTTGCTAGCCTGCCCACTGCATGGCGGCCAATCGTCTCCGCTAGTTTGCCCTATCTAGCATTTTCTTCAAATGATCTCTGCAAGCTCACTTACACCGGAATTTTAGTCAAGATTTCGACGACGGAATTAAGCATACAAAATTCGCCACAAGTGGTTCGAAATCGAAACATTCTGTTCGAAAATAATCGTTGAAGGGCGTATCGGTTTTCTCAATATCTCTGCCAGCCGGCCCGCGACATGCGAATTAATGGTCTTTTCTAGTTTGCCCTATGACATAGGAAAGTATACAAAGAGTCTCTGCTGGCTACCTTTTTAAATTTTGATCCAAATGTGTAAGAAATCGCAATGCAATTCCTTAAGCTGAAGTTCGCAAAAAGTAGTACATAATTAAAACATTGTTTTTTTAATTTTCAAAAATTTCATTTTTATAAAAATTTGTTTTTTTCAGGCTTGCGCCCCGGCCTGCCAGCCAATGTGTGACAACTCGTGCGTCTCGCAGCAACAGGCGCAGATCGTCGTCGTCCAGGTACGGTAGCTCACCACGGTCTTCTTGTTTGAATTCGTTAATTTCTAGGTAATTTTTAGGCTCCTTGTTATGAAAAATTGTTAGCCAGAGACCTGAATTAGCCTACATCATATCTTTTACAACCATATTTTTTTTGAAACACGTATTTACACAAATTTTTGATTCTTTGCGATACTTTTTAGTATCGGCATCTTAATGTTTTGAATTGAAACTTGATATATTAAATACATAAAATTATATTTTAAATTCATTTCAGTTGTCAAATGCCATAATTTTTTTATTCCAGCAGCAACCAGCTCCTTGGCTAATTTTAAGGTCATTTTTGGGTGTAGGCCTATTCTGATTAGTCTACACCAAGTTTCTTACAACTCTGATTTCTTTGAAACACAATTTTTCGCCTAAATTTCCACGCGTTTTGCAATATTTTAGTAACCAAAGTGTTAATGCTTGGGACTACTAGCTATTTTTATGACATAAATTTAGCTTTTAGATCCATTCAAAACTACTACGTATGATAATTATACCTTTTTTTCAGCAACAACCGTCCTCGTCATCTTGCCCCTCTTCATGCCAGCCCCAATGCACACAGCAATGCGTCCAGCAGGTCCGTATGAATTATTTTAAAGGGATGGCGCCAGGAAGGCTTTGAAAAAATAAAATGAAGATTTTCGTAGCCTTGTTTGTCCAGCTCGATATGCCCAAAAACACTCGAGAAATAAGCTGGAAAAATAAAATTCCAAATTATTGCAAAAATAAAAAGCAAAAAACGAAACAAAAATAATACACAAACGCCCGGTGTTAAAAAAGAGTATCTGACTCTGCTCTTAATGCCAAAAAAAACCATAAAAATAAAACAACGTTGATGACGTTCTTGGTGAAATTCAATGAAGCGACGACACGAGAGGATTAACAGTCGTAAAGCATTAAAAGTGAAACATTTTTTACTTTATTGGCTTTGACTTTTTTAATTTTTTTGAAGCTAAGGTTTGAAAGCTAAATGCATTTAATATCGTAAATATTGCATTTAAGAAAACTAAAAGATTTGGGTTTCACTACCAGTTTGGAACTGTATAAATTTTTAAAACGTGGCTAGCTCCACCTTACCATTAAATTCCAAAACTTTTCCGGTTATCTAAAATTTTTCGAAACACCGTAATTTTTCAGCAACAAATCTGCGTGGCCGCCTGCGAGCCGTCTTGCCAATCGTCGTGCAACCAGAATGCCCAGTGCGTTCAGGCTTGTCTGCCATCGTGCGAGTCGTCGTGTGTTCAGCAGGTAGGCAAATAGCGAGTCTAAAATAAAATCTTTTTTTAGCTTTTTTATTTTTGTTGAAACATCTTTAATTAAGAAAATTGTTCTTTTCGTTTCTGTGCGGTTATTGAAAGTTTCGGTATTTTCGAAAACATGATCTGGCTAAAAGCAAAAAATTTAATTTTATAAAAATTGGGAGCCTATAACTGATTAAGCCAAATTATTTCTTGAACATTTTTGCACTTTTTAATTTTTACCGAAACATTGATATTAATAGAATTCTTTCATAGAGTCGAATTTCTCTGATGGTATCTCTAAAATACCGTACCTTCCACCATCCGAGTGAGTCAATGGCTTTGTCTTTCCTCACGTTGGCCAGGAGTATTATTTATCGAAATTTACTCCTTTTTTGAAGTCTTTTGGAAGCTGTTTGTACACTGAATTTTATAAATTTATATAAACTTTCTGATCGCGATTAAAAAGACGGTATTATGGACAGACTGAAAGCTAAAAATATGATTATGGAAAGGCATAAGGATTTCCTGGGAACTGCATTCCGCGGATTTTTCCGATTGTTAATTTTTGTTGAAACATTTTTTTTACAAAAGACTGATTTGTGTTTGTTCCTTTTATTAATAGTTCCAAAATTACGGTACCTTCTAGAAATGCCAATAACATAAATAAAAACTTGAAAAAATTTCAGTCTCAGCCCGTTGTCGTTGTGCAGCAGAATCAGAATAACTGCCCGTCCGCCTGCCAGCCACAGTGCACCAGGTACGGTAGCTGTGGCATATCACGACACATTTTTCTTGTTGCCGCAACAAATTGAGTTACATATCAAATGCGAACTCTATAAAAATTTCTGATCTAATTTAATCAACATATTGACCCAAAAATTATGAACCTTTGAAATTTAATTAAATTTGAAAATTGATATGTTTTAATTCGGAAGAATAAGCAAAATTTTTTTCGAGCTTTAATGTCATTAAACGCCGTTCATTTCTCTCTTTGCTTTTTCTATTTTCTTTGCTTACTTCCGTAAAATCTTTTCGGATTTGTTTTTTAGCTTTTTTTTGTGTGGGGATTATCCTACAATATGTACATTTTTTAATTTGACGAAACTAACTTTTCAAGAATTGTCAAAAGTCGCCTCTTTCCATCTATTGCTAAACATACTGAAACATTTATAAATTTAGGCAAGGTACAAAAAATACGGCATCTAAAACTGGTGTGTATTTCTGTACCACCACAATGAATTTGTTGTGGTATAGAAATATGTTTGTTCTATTTTCGATTTATTTACGTTAGCATTATCTCAATTTAGTCTTTTAGCATAATTTTTTATTACCGTAGTAGTTTTAGTGCTACATTTTGCATTGAGTATCATTTAGTACTTTAGTATTTTAACAATTTTAACACTTAATTTCCAATATCTTAAATACCGTATCCAACCCCTTTTTTCAGCCAATGCCAACAACAGTACACAATTTGCTCTTCCGCCTGCCAGCCATCTTGCCAATCGTCGTGCGGTGGAAATAGCCAATGTGTCCAGGCCTGTGTCCCATCTTGCGAGAATTCCTGCGTCCAGCAGCAGCAGCCACAGGTAGAAATTTAAGCTAAAATAAATCTAAATAATAGCTAATCTCAATCTAATATAAATTCTTTATAAAAATTCCCTCAAATTTAAATTTTCGCTCAGCTTAATCCGATTAGAGTTTTATAGCGTATTCTTAACGTTAAAAACATAAAACGAAATACCGTAAAAACGCGGAATATTAAATCAACGGATTTACTTGAGAATGCTCAACGAATAGGATCCGTAAGAAAAATTTTTCACTACTATTCTACTAGAAACATCTATTTTCAAAATGAAATCAGGGAGCTAAAAGTGAAAGTTTGTATTCCAAATTTTGATTGAGGTTTCTTCTGCGGTACAGGTAACATTAAAAATACACTAAAATATTTTACTATACTTATTTGTGAAACGTTGATTTCAAAAAACCAAATTTTTGCTGGTTTTCTTCGGTTTTTCGCGCTAAAATTAAATAAAATCCTAACATATGTGGTTGCTGTTTGACATTACTACTTCTACTTTTCTTTTTTTATTATTCTTTTACATATATGAGGCGTTGAATTGTAGTAAAAAAGTTGTATGCAAGTGAAAAAGCAATACTTTAGCTCCAAGAAAAATGTTAACGAGATCTTTTTAGAAACATAGTTTTTCTAGACGTTCTATTCAAAATGATAAAAATTAAAAATTTTAGTTTCTACGTGCTAATTTTTCTATTTTCCAGGTGATCGTCGTGCAACAACAGCAGCAGCAGCAGCAACAGTGCGTGCCCGCCTGCCAGCCCCAGTGTACGCCCCAGTGCAATCAACAGGTACTGTATTCTTCTGGATACTTAATGTGAAAAGCGAGAAAATAAAGTTCGGCAATGCCAAGGCACTATTGGAAAAATTCCCTTATTTGGAGTGCTAAACTTGGAAACATTTAAGATTACTAAAAACAAGTAGATATTTATTTCTCGAATCATTTTAAACGGGCCATAATAAAAATGCGTGGACTACACGAGTATAAGAAGAAAAGAACTAAAAGAATTACTCGATTTTGCTTATATTGAGCTTGAAACATCGAAGCTTATCCCCAAAATTTTCGCCAAGAGGAAAGAGTTTCAAAGAATCATATGGTAGCAAAACCTTCCCATCGGATAATATTAGATTGAGAGCAGGGTTCATCCATACAAACTGATAATAATATGATTTTTCATAATAGCCAACTATTCCATTTATATTTCAGCAGCAAATCTGCGTGCAAGCCTGCCAGCCGTCTTGCCAGTCGTCGTGCGGGAGCAACACGCAATGTACACAGACTTGCCAGGTATATATAAAGAGTTTCCTTTAACGGAAGCGGCAGAGAGCGAGAGAGCGAGAGAGAAAGAGAGGGCGAGAGAGGGATAACCTGATTCCATATTGAATTCAACGTTCAAAAACGTAAAAGAAGGCAACAAAAATGTTTCCCCGAAAGGTTCCAGCCAGGCGAAATGGAAATTCAATAATTCCTCAAAAATTGAGACGAAAAAGCGATCACCAAAAAGCAATAAATGAATGAGAGAGAGAGAGAGCGAGACAGAGACCGAGATAGAGGGGGAGAGAGAGAACGAGAGCGACAGAGAGAGAGTGAGAGAGAGAGAAAGTGTGAGAGAGAGAGAGAGAGAGAGAGAGAGAGAGAGAGGAAAAGAAAATTCTAACAATCCTTAAAAAAGGAGGTTTCAAAAACGATCCAAGAGCAAGAAAGATTTTTGTAAACGATGACGTGTTCGATAAAAAAACAAATATCCCAGGCCTCTTGCGCCCAATCGTGCGCCACGCAACAAGTTGTCGTCGTTCAGCAACAACCCCAGTGCGGCCAATCCTGCCAGGTACTGTAATAAATTTAAATTTACTGAGATGGAATTATTTTAGCAAATTTCACATATGCCTTTCAAAAAAAACCATTATACCCGATCCGTTTTAGCCGCAACAAGTGATGCAATGCGTGCCGCAGTGCCAGCCAGCCTGCCAACCATCTTGCGTTAATCAGCAACAGGTACGATAAATGACTCCGTGGAAAATAGCGTCACCAAAATCAAATTTTGCCCCGCTCTTGCGAGGGGGCTCCAAAAATTGTTGAATACTCATAATTGTTCGTGTGCACGGAAATCTTTAGTAAAAGGCGAAAGATTTTCTCGGTCAAATGCACACGAACCAGAGACGCCAACATTGGGAAAGCGCCGATCTTATCCCTCGACAGTGGGCCAGGCGGGGGTCGCGTCGCAGTTCCCCCGGGTCGCATTTCTGATTGTCTACTGACCCCTTTGACCATAAACCAATTTAGAAAACGATAAAAATCCTAAAAATTGACCCGAAGGACGGCTCGATTGTGAAAAATAAGCGGAATACGGTAATTTGGGCGTGGACTATCGGGTAAAAAGATATCTTTCCGGTTTTGAAGTGTTTCGATTAGTTTTCGGATAGTTTTCTGGGCCGTGAGCTGTCGGGTCTTTTGGCCTTTATGGTCATGTATTTTCTTAGAGTTGGAAATATAAATCCTCACAAATTATCAGCCTCATATTTACCGTCTTAATTTTTAAAAATATTATAAAGCTGGTGTTGCAAAAAATTAAATGGAAACCGGGTAATGTTTTCCGTTAATCGCGATATTTCCGTGCTGTGTGCCGTGCTATTATCGGGTTTCTTTGCCAGGCAAATCCTTGAGTCTTTAAGAATTTCTAACATCAATAATCTCTTAGAAATTAGGCGTTCCGAGTAATTGCAAAGGGATGTTCGGATTTTGTAATGAGGTTATGAATTAATCATTTGAGGTATTCTATGTTAAGTTTTATTCCAATAACAGTTTTCTGGATTTGAAAGCTGGTTTTCATACGCTTTAGGGGAAAATAACCTTAAAAACAGACTTTATAAGGGCTTCACGTAGCCAAAGTTCAAAAATTGTCAGCAAACAATTTTTGGATAATAAATGTTTCTTATATTGTTCAGAATAGCGAATGCTTTCGGTCGCGGATTTGAAGTTGATACATTGTTTCCTAAAACAATGCCTTTATAATCTTTCAGACCTAAAAACTATTGAATTTTTTTGAAACGAATGTTTTATACATTTTTAAGAATCGCAATTCTTTTCCGGCGTCTGATCCATGGTAATAATTCCTGAGACGTTAAAAAAATTCCTTCAGGCTTTTCTGTAGCCAAAAGGTGCAAACATAAAATTGCATAATTTTGGAAAAAATGTTTCGGCATGCCATGCTTTGAAATCGGCGAATTACATTGCCGCGTAATATCTGTAGTAAATATTCAGGCAAAAAAAATGCAAAAATAATTCGGTCAGAATTTTGTAAACGATGTTTCAAAATATCTTAAAAAAAGCCATTTTTCCGGGAGTCGATGGATAGAATGGCGGGCTAGCGGAATATGAAAATAAATACATTAAAAAATGTTATAGAACTTTACAAAATGGAGATTGTTGGTGCTTATTCCGTGGTTTAATTTTTCTTAATCGACGAGACTTTAAAAACAATCACTCAATCTCTTTCAGAAAACAAAAATTTTTTAGAAAGAAATGCTTCATAAAAATATAAAAATTGCCAATTTTTCTGGGATCTAATGCACCGCTGTAACTACCGAAGAGAAATTCGATATCTCAGGTGTACGCCCAGCCGGCGGCGATCCAGCTGTGCAGCGGCGGCGGAGGGGGCGGCTGCAGCTGCCAGCCGGGATACGCGCAGTGTATGCAGGGAGTGTGCTGCTTGCGGAAACGCCATCGTCTCGCCAAGCAGAAGCTCGTCGTCTAAGCCAAGTCGACAAAACGCTACTGTCACCATCCCCTTAAAAATATTGAAATTAATTTAATGGGAAAAATTCCCCTTAAAAATCCACGATTTTCTCCGAAAAATGGGTACGCCGGGTTACGGTAGCCCCCAGGGGTTACAGTAACCCCGTGGCTGTGCCCCATGTCTCTTTTTCTCTGATTCTCTATCTCTCGCCCATAACCCTCACTGATCTGTCACATTTTTAACAATTTAGTTTTCATTTTCGTTATTTATTTTCGAGAAAATCGGCTGGATACGCGATTTTAAAGGGGCTGAGAAGGAAAATCGGGGCTAATTTATGCAAATTTTTCTAAAAAAGGGGCAAATTAGCTTAATTACGTTAATTATGCTCAATTTTCGTGCTAGGCTATTTACAAAAATTATGCAAATTACGAAAATTGAGTTAATCACGGTAATTATGTTAATTACGCGAATTTCCCCGCCTTTCCGACCCCTTGAAAAACCGAAACAGCCGATTTTTAAAGCGATTATTTATCACCCTAAAAATCTACAGTACCTTCCACGAAGTGTCCTACCGTACTCTAACGTACGCCCACAGATTTTTGTGATCCCTAAAATGTGCTCAACAAATTTGAATGTTGCTCAAAAACCCCACCCGCCACGCCTGAACCGTTGCTCAATTTGTGGCCTTTTTTTCTGCTGTCCCACTCCCTTTAAAGCAGATTTTTTTAAGCATAAAAATTATATAATTAATAAAAAATAAAAAATAAGGAAAGGGGCTAGCAGGGGTTCTTTGGGGAAAGGGAATTTTTAAAGTCCGCTGCAGTCAGTAAGCCGCAAATTTCTAAGTCAGCTTTTGTTATTTTTGCTCACATGAGTAGATATACAAGATTATAAAATCATAAAATTTCAAATTTTTAGGAAAATATGTAACATCTTTTTTCCCAAAAAAATATTCTTTCGGTTTTTGAAACTGCTGAACCGGACGCGCCGCGCATCACTCGGGTTCCCCAGCGCCGCCGCATCCTTCTTTTTCCTCGGCGCCGACGATTTCTACGAGGCGTCCGGCTCACTATTTCAGTCGTAAAGTGCTTCGAATTTAGTAACACCGGTCTAAAAACGAGAGTGATGATGATTTGAAACACATTTACTTAATAATTATTGGTTGAGCAAAAATTATTGGCGACATTCTCTTTCCCTCTTTCCTAGCCCCCCCGAGATGTGGAATGTTAATAAAGATTTATGATTGAATTTATCGAATTTTACACAGAATATGATATTGTCGAGTTGCTACGATTTTTTACAGAAGGCAGACCAAACGATCGAGATGTAAATTTGCTAGTTTTGACGCGTTTTTAGGAATCAGAAGAATCTGTTCATTTTTCGTAAGAAATAGGTTTCATTTACTCGTCAAGGGACACCGGTGCCTGAAAAATTATTCTAATCGAAGCAATAGGGTAGAATTTTTATGTTACAAATCCTGCAGGGCTTCACATTTTTAGATGTTTTTTAATGCCCGGCTGCTTAGTCTTTCCCAAAAACCCGATAATTGTCTTGAAGTATGATAAATCAAGTATAGTTTAGGACGTCGGGCTCAGAATCGTATCGCCATTATAGTGACTCAAACTTAAAGTCATTTTTTCGATGGTTATTTGAAACAAATTTTTCCTCAAAACTAATTGTGCAGCAGACATTCTCAGCCATCGCGAAAATTCTCAGAACTTTAGAAAGCAGAATTTACGATTGATTTGCGTAAAGCTTTCAAAATATTATATCATACACATTATGGTATATTAAAGAGGTCTAAACCCCTTCTAGGTCTGTAATTGGCGTTCGTGCGGAGCCCACTAGGCATATTGTCGCTTGCATCTACAGCACTTTCGCTGCAACATTTTATTGCCACTCGCCCCTTTATGATGCTGGAAAAAAACGTTTCATAAAAAAATTGCTAAGCTTTGGGCTCGCTTCTTTTTTTTAATTAGGATGCCTGCGTTGTCAGTTTCAACAGAACTTCTATTATTTTACTAAAATTTTTTGAAAAAATCGTTTATTCAATTTTACAAAAGCGATTTTTTTAACTTGTCGGTTTTAAGTTTAAAGTTGTTTGTTCGTCTGGGCTTTGCGTTTTCTGCGCAATTTCTGACGTACATTAATTATATACACTTTATTCCTCCAAGTTCTTCCAAAAGTAGCACTTGATTTCCACACGGGACCCGTATTACGTATGCAAATTCTCAAGAAATCGACAAAAATCCAAAAGAAAAATATCGAACATATCGTCTTTTCTGTATTTTTCTTTTGTACAAAAATACCGAAAATCGGTAATCAATGAAAGCAAAACTGAAAAGTTAAAAAATCGATAAAATCGAAAAATCGAAACATTTTTAAAATTACGGGTTGAGGGCCTATAAGCGATATTCATTCAGATGATACTCGTATGTGGCCGAATAATTAGAAGTGCTGTCGGTATTCTCGACATCTGTCGGTTTATTTGCCATACTTTCCGCCGCATCCGCTTTCCGCGGATCTTCGGCCAGTTTGACGGTTCGCGGCCCGCCCGAAGTCTTTTTGCTGGGTGCTGAAAAATTGTTTTTCATAAAGTGGTAGACAGACGATTAATTTTTTAAAAACAGAAATCACTCCAAGATTGACTGAAACTCGTATTTTTTTTGACGGCCCTAATTTTATGTTTTTGGGGGTATCAACGTTTTTAATTGATTTATCTAGTAATTTGACAATTTTTTTGAAACAATCAGTCATTGTATTGATTTTCCGAAACTCAAATGCACTCAAAAATTGGCTGAAACTCGTATTTTTTCGGCGGAATTAATCTTGCCGTTTTCGGATATACCGGGGGGGGGGAATAGGAGTAATATACAGCTAATTTTGCTTGTTCAATTCCCGTCTAGTAATTTTTAATTTTGTTCCACGAATCAGGCACTATAATAAGTTTTAAAAACTCAATCCTTTCTTACGCTCAAAAATTGGCGAAACATTTCCGTTCCTCCATGAGAGCTGAGGCTGAAATCTCAAAAAACACAATTTAGAAAATTTTTCTCTATATATATTACAGGAAAATTGAAGATACCTTTCCCAGCGGTCAAACTAGCTGTGGGCGCACTAATAGGTCGATAGTCCTTCGGCTTCTTCTCGGCCCTCCAATAGCCACAGAAATAACGGAAAGTGGCACGAGAAGCATCGTTGATCTGTCGATTGTTGGCCAGGTACACCGGGAAGCGTAGGCAACTAAAATGTTCAGAATGGTGCGTATGGTGTATTGGCAAATTTCTCTACCTCCAGGAAACCAACCCGGGTTCGAATCCGGTCGCGGTAATTTGTTTGTTTTTTTTGGGGATTTTTAGTTTTTGAATTTTTCGAAAAAATTGGCTTGAAGATGATGTTTCTTGCTTGAAACGTTTTGGGGCGAAATTTTATTGCTTTAATCAGAATTGATGTAGCTTTCTAAATGTATCTTGCTCATGATTTCAAAAAGTGACGCTTTATTTTAATTAAAGGTATCGATAATATTACTTTATGACGACCCCTTAATTATAAGTTTTCATGTTTTTAATATTAATTAAATGTAATTAGTTTTTACATTTCTTTTTTGACCAAATGATGTTTCTTGCTTGAAAGCTTTTGTTGTAAACCTCATTTCGTTAATATTGCTGTGGGTTTCACACGATTTAGTTTGGAAGCATTTTATCAATCGTCGTCTTCAGCCCGATTTTTTGTTAAGTAAACGCAATCGTAATTTTACTTTTTCTTTAATATGGCTACCTTAATTATAAGTTTTTTCCAGTTATGAGTACTGCTTGTTGTTTTAATCAATGTGGAAACCTTAAAAAAATTATGTTTCTTGTTTGTAGGTTTTCGGGATTAAATTTTATTTCATCAATGAGTGGCGTACAATGTGTCCAAAAATTCATTTTGATTATTATATAAAAAAGACCGTTGTTTTCACCTTTTTTTATTTTCATTCAACGTGTTTCTAAATTTTCTTTAGTGTGGCTACCTTAATTATAAGTTTTAAGGTTTTGTTATTTTAATTATATGCAACTAGAATACCCAAAGATTGCTGTCTTTTAAATTAAAATGGCCTTTAATGCTTTTTGCATTTATTACTTGGATCAAAAACTTTTTTGAAAAATGATGTTTCTTGTTTGAAACGTTTCGGGCTTTAAATTGTAGTCGTTAATCCGATGTCGCGGTGACAGCGTATTTAAACGTAATAATTTAATACGTTTTATACGTAATGTCGTAATAATACGTAACTTAATTAACCGTATTTGTAAATTATAGGGCATAAAATTTAAGATTTAATACTTTTTATATTAATATTATTAAAATTTAATTTAATCATTTCTCACCTGGAGAGTAACGAGCAGATACTGCAGATATCATTAGCATACGAATAAAGTTGATGCAACCCTTCATCATCTCTCAATTTCTCGTCCAAATTCGGCGTGCTGAACTCGCTGATGCTGATGATCATCTGCGGGGCCTGGGAGACGATGTAGAGGGAGACCATGATGATTAACGTCCGGGTTGCGTCCTGGAGTTTTCAGCGTAATTTTAAGCAATTTTTAAAGGGACGGGCAAGGCAGTTCTATTATGGAGTATTCAGGAAGCATTACCCAAAAAAATGTTGCAATTTTTTAATTTGGTTACAACGTTAAAAATTAAATAATGAGGAGTTCATCGGGATCTAGTAATTTGACAATTTTTTTGAAACAATCAGTCATTGTATTGATTTTCCGAAACTCAAATGCACTCAAAAATTGGCTGAAACTCGTATTTTTTCGGCGGAATTAATCTTGCCGTTTTCGGATATACCGGGGGGGGAGGGAATAGGAGTAATATACAGCTAATTTTGCTTGTTCAATTCCCGTCTAGTAATTTTTAATTTTGTTCCACGAATCAGGCACTATAATAAGTTTTAAAAACTCAATCACGCTCAAAAATTGGCGAAACATTTCCGTTTCCATGAGAGCTGAGGCTGAAATCTCAAAAAACACAATTTAGAAAATTTTTCTCTATATATATTACAGGAAAATTGAAGATACCTTTCCCAGCGGTCAAACTAGCTGTGGGCGCACTAATAGGTCGATAGTCCTTCGGCTTCTTCTCGGCCCTCCAATAGCCACAGAAATAACGGAAAGTGGCACGAGAAGCATCGTTGATCTGTCGATTGTTGGCCAGGTACACCGGGAAGCGTAGGCAACTAAAATGTTCAGAATGGTGCGTATGGTGTATTGGCAAATTTCTCTACCTCCAGGAAACCAACCCGGGTTCGAATCCGGTCGCGGTAATTTGTTTGTTTTTTTTGGGGATTTTTAGTTTTTGAATTTTTCGAAAAAAATTGGCTTGAAGATGATGTTTCTTGCTTGAAACGTTTTGGGGCGAAATTTTATTGCTTTAATCAGAATTGATGTAGCTTTCTAAATGTATCTTGCTCATGATTTCAAAAAGTGACGCTTTATTTTAATTAAAGGTATCGATAATATTACTTTATGACGACCCCTTAATTATAAGTTTTCATGTTTTTAATATTAATTAAATGTAATTAGTTTTTACATTTCTTTTTTGACCAAATGATGTTTCTTGCTTGAAAGCTTTTGTTGTAAACCTCATTTCGTTAATATTGCTGTGGGTTTCACACGATTTAGTTTGGAAGCATTTTATCAATCGTCGTCTTCAGCCCGATTTTTTGTTAAGTAAACGCAATCGTAATTTTACTTTTTCTTTAATATGGCTACCTTAATTATAAGTTTTTTCCAGTTATGAGTACTGCTTGTTGTTTTAATCAATGTGGAAACCTTAAAAAAATTATGTTTCTTGTTTGTAGGTTTTCGGGATTAAATTTTATTTCATCAATGAGTGGCGTACAATGTGTCCAAAAATTCATTTTGATTATTATATAAAAAAGACCGTTGTTTTCACCTTTTTTTATTTTCATTCAACGTGTTTCTAAATTTTCTTTAGTGTGGCTACCTTAATTATAAGTTTTAAGGTTTTGTTATTTTAATTATATGCAACTAGAATACCCAAAGATTGCTGTCTTTTAAATTAAAATGGCCTTTAATGCTTTTTTGCATTTATTACTTGGATCAAAAACTTTTTGAAAAATGATGTTTCTTGTTTGAAACGTTTCGGGCTTTAAATTGTAGTCGTTAATCCGATGTCGCGGTGACAGCGTATTTAAACGTAATAATTTAATACGTTTTATACGTAATGTCGTAATAATACGTAACTTAATTAACCGTATTTGTAAATTATAGGGCATAAAATTTAAGATTTAATACTTTTTATATTAATATTATTAAAATTTAATTTAATCATTTCTCACCTGGAGAGTAACGAGCAGATACTGCAGATATCATTAGCATACGAATAAAGTTGATGCAACCCTTCATCATCTCTCAATTTCTCGTCCAAATTCGGCGTGCTGAACTCGCTGATGCTGATGATCATCTGCGGGGCCTGGGAGACGATGTAGAGGGAGACCATGATGATTAACGTCCGGGTTGCGTCCTGGAGTTTTCAGCGTAATTTTAAGCAATTTTTAAAGGGACGGGCAAGGCAGTTCTATTATGGAGTATTCAGGAAGCATTACCCAAAAAAATGTTGCAATTTTTTAATTTGGTTACAACGTTAAAAATTAAATAATGAGGAGTTCATCGGGAAGAAAGAAATTTGCCTTTCGTCTGGGATCCGAAAAGCTAGTTTGATAATTTTTCGAAAAACGGGCAAGAAATTCACTTGATTTTATGTATTCCTACTAGAATTTGCTATTTGAATATTATATATGATTTTAATACAAAACGAATGCGCGATGCAATAGAAACTAATTACTCCCGTGCTAATAACCATCGTTTTGGAATGTTATGAAACATACAATATTATAGTTTTAGCGCCGCATAAGAAAGAAGCGAGAAAGGGTCATTAATGCAAAATATCTACCATTTTTTTAAGATGTGTTCTAAACATTAAAAACTCAAAAAATTATGCGGGGTTTCAATTTAAGTTGTTTAACATACTTGTGATACCATTTTACATACGTGACAGAATTTATACACCAAAGCACTACAGTATACATAGTAGGAAGAGCTGGGATCTAGCAAATCGAGAAGCCATTTATTACCAAAAAATTAAGCAACACGTTTTTAGAAGTTTTTGAAAAATGTAAAAATAAATGATTCCGTTGAGGTTTATAAATTTTCGCGTTCCTTTCCAATCCTACCGTACCCGAATATTGCATCGACTACTTTTTAAAATGGGGTATTTCAATTTGATTTTAATCAGAAACGAAAACGAAGCTTATTAGCGCTTTTTTAATAAGGTTTACATTTGGAATGTTATGAAACATAAAATTTAAATCCGCTAACTAAATAAGCAATAAAGTTTCAAACGCTACCGCACCCGAATATTCCGGCGGCTACACTTTGTAGATGAGCTCGGCATGAAGACCGCCTTTTTCGGCGTGAATGTTTGCTGTTTTAACGCCTAAAGTAGGATATTTTTAATAGGTGACCCTCATACCGTAATGATCTTGAAATTCATGAGAACGAGGAGGATAAAGGGGGAGATCCGGTCGACGATGAATCGGGTCCAGAACATGAACAGCTTACGGTAGATCTCATTTCGTACTAGAGGGGTGGCCACGATCTCGAACCGGCTGAAAATTGAATGTTTCGAAAAACAGTAAGGTCGGAGCCTTTCTTTAGCTATGATAAACGTATACCGAAAAATTATACCTTAAAATTTCTATTTATGCTTTTTAATTACGTCTGCTAAAAAATGAAGTAGAATTTGTGAAGTTTGGGAATACTTTATTAAATTTTATGCCAATTAAAATCTCTTAAAATCGGAAATAAAAATAGCGCAGGAAAAGTTTCATTTTTATTGATTTTTTGACTTGTTGGCTACTTTTTCGAATCACTGATATTCAAATTCGCTAAAAGAATTTTTTGATAAATCACGATAGAAGTCTTTCAAAACCCACACAATCATTAAAAATGTAAGATTCATCTATTTGCCTTTTTTGCTAACGATTTAAGAAACTAGTTGTCATCGATTCCAACGTCTCAAATAATTTTAGACGATTTCACTATAGTTATCGAGCTTTGAAATACAGAAAATTAAAGTTGAAGTTTATAGCTCCAATTAAAATGGTAAAAATGGTAGGAAAATTAAATTTTTCAGATATTTGTTAGCGGATTTGACAGCATTTGGCATATTGAGACGACCCAGAATTTTTTCTGCCGAAATTCAGGAATACCTGCTAACGTAGTCACACAGTATTTACCAGTATTTTTGTAAAAATTAGTTACATTTAAGGTGAAAAATTATCAAAGAAAATTTAAATATTTTTAATGATCCAAAATCTGCTTCGAAAATCACAAAATATCGTAAAAACGATAATTTTGGAATTTTTGCAGAAAATTGGCCACGTTTTTGTATTTATTAATAGTATAGATGTATAAAAACGCTATTTATGCCGATATTCACATTAAGAAATTTGAGCTCAAAGAAAAATTATTTTAAAACAAAATTATTATAGTAGATCCTTCCCCCGATAATGGAAAAGCTCCAAAATCTCCACCTGAACTCCTCGACTCCACAATGCAAATGCTCGGTGACGTCGAGCTCAAAATACGTGGGCAATTTGTAGGCGACGGCGACGAGGATGCAGCCCGCGCACAGTCCCACTCGATTCTTCTCCACGAATCTGGAATACGGTAGATTTCATAGGTGTAATTTGTATGTTTCGGAATTCATCCTCTAAAAGTTCGGCTAGCAGCCCTCACAAAAACCACGACACGAGAAGCGGTAAAATTAGAATATTTTGGGGTAGCGGTTAGTCAGAGAAGTAGCCGGTTAGTACATTGAATTTTTGTGAGGTGTTTAAAGAAATTTAAAACATGGAAAATTCAGAAAATTGGCCGCAGAGGGGGTTCGCGCAATGGAATTGGGGTGCAATTTAGTTCGTGAAAGGAGCAAATTTTTCGAAACATTTTAAAATTTTTAAGGATTCAATTCTTATTTTTAGTTTTTAATGAAATTTTTCGTTTCTGATTCATTTGGTAGTTTACCCATTTTACTTTTGATAAATTTCGATAAATTAATAAAAGTGTTTCGGCAATGTATTTGTAACAAAATCTCGCAAAAACAAGAATGTGGTTTCATGAAATGTCAAATTGCTAACTTACTTTTAGCATATAAAACAATAGTTAAAAGTTTGATTCCAATCTACAAAATCAGCTATTTTAACAGATAAAAATGCTGAAATTTCTTTAGAAAAATAAATAATCATAAATTAGAAATAGCTTGGTGTGGCATTAATTCGTGAATGAATTTAGTAACTAACCGATATATCGAAACACCCATTTTTCAAGATCCTGTTTTTAGCCAGTTTTTCTAGTATGATGGTGGTGAGTGGTTGTAGTGGGAGCGAGAGAAGGAGAGAGAGAGAGAGAGAGAGAGAGAGAGTGAGAGAGAGAGAAGGAGAGAGAAAAAGAAAGATTAAACATTTAAATTTTGCATTTTGCATCTAGGGCATCCGCTCACCGCGAGCCAAAGCTCAACTGCTGCTCCTCAGGCTCCGCGACGGCGCTTTATTGAGGAAATTATTATTTTTCTATTTGGTAGTTTTCGGGAAGTTTCAGCAAAAATTTGTTTTAAATCCCCTGCCAAACAACATTCTGCTAAGTTGCCTTCACGAAACACTAATTTTACACATTTTTGTCAAAATATGAACCGCCGAAATTATCCCGGTTAGTTAACCATACTCGTTGATCGCTCGTGATTAGCCACCCAACAAATTTCTGCTAGTTGTGGCTAGTTGAAACACGCATTTTGAGTGGATTTTTATAAAACGTGCATAACCCATGCTCCCAAATAATCCATGCTAGCCTTGACCGTTCTCGAATCCTCGATTGTCCCAATTTTTCTTTTAGTATTTTATTATTTGGTTTTTTATTTTTTCCGCAAGGAAATCAATTTTTCCTCATAAAAAACCATGCTATTCTGACCTTCAATTCCTCAAGGATATTTGATAGTTTACCATATTCGCCCGATGGATCGTTATTATTCAGCCAAATAATTTCTGCTAGTGGTGGTTGATTGAAACATTCAAATTAAAGCGGGTCTAATCTTTGTTTTTTTTGCTTTCCCTGGAAAATCGTGGCTATTTATCGTCAACGGAATTTTTCTGCAATTTTCAATTTTTCCCCAAATGACCCCTGCTAGTTACCCCAAAACTGCAATAATACCTCCTCAAATGCGTTGTCGTCTTGACTTGAAACGTTCGTAGCAATCGTTCCGTAGTGGCCAACAGGATGAGAAGTGATGAGGAGAAGAGGGCACAATTCGATTCGCATACAACAGTCACTACACAGCTCACAAATACGTGGTACAGCCACAGGAGACCGTAGTAATCGATGAATACCTAAACGTATCGATACTTCCTCGGCAATGTCTGGGAGGTGCGTGCTATTTTTTCCTAAAGATTCTCCGCTTGCTTGCCCCTATTTTCATTCCCGATCCCCTCCGGTTGCTGCCATTTGCGGCATTTCCACTTTGTTCTCATCTGGTTGCTCCGGCCCGATTGTAAGTTATCTTTAGTAGCTTACCCCTAACTTCCGTGAAACTCTTTAATTCTAGCCAAAATTCCTCAGCCAACCAGCTTTTTTCTGTTGCTATACTCGCTTCACAAATGGTCTCTGCTAGCTCGTCAGCTTTTTTATGCTCCCCAAAAATCTCTGCTAGTAGGTTGCCTGTTCTTTTATCGTTCAAAAACCCACCGGTACACTCATCGCAGCGATATAATTAAATCCCATGATGATATCGACGACGGCAATCACTCCAAAATAGAGCACGGCTGATCTAGAAATTACACAACCATTTAGGGTTTTATGGCATTTCGGATATGAGACCTTACATTTTTAAACCTAGGTATTTTTAATTGGTGAGAGGTAATTAATATGAGGTGCAAACATTTTTAGATAAACTTTAGGACTGAAACATCTTTCAAAAAACAATAATGTCCTGTTCTGGTACTGACAAGTGCTCACGAAGGAAAATTTTTATAAAGTTGAGATCCGAAACAGACTTTTAAAAAATTTTCAAAATTCAAAATTTCGTATATATTTATTTTTCGCATATACTACCTTCCTTATTTGAACTTAGCTTGATATTTGATTTCATTAGTCTTTCGTCGTGTTTTTATTTAATTTGATTAAAAAGACTTTATTTTAATTAGCTTTCTTGGCTTTTTTCTAACCATTTTAAAGTTTTTTTGGAACAACTTAGGCGCGAATCATGCTTTTTCAAAAGCCAAAGTTAATCTAGTAATTTTTCTAGATTGTGATTCAAGGCGTAAATGGGTGTTTAATGGAGCGTACTTTGCCAGTGACGGTGTATACAAATAGACGATGCAGAGGAAGAAATTGAGAATGATGGATGTGAGAGCGACTGTCGTCCCAAACATTCCAATCAGCCAGATCTTTCCTTCGATGTAGTCGGTGCCCTGCAAAAATAGATGTTTCACAACTTTGGCAGGTCCGCGATCTTCTAATTTCCAGAATATTCACGATGTGATATTGAAGCGAAAATACGCGACAGTATTTTCTCTTAATCTTTTTCTAAAAAAGACAACTTTTATGAAACTTATTAGCGAATTTATTTTGACTATTTTACGGAATTTAAACATATACAGATTAAAATTATATACATACATCTAAATTAGGCGGTTTCTCGCAAGAAAACTGGTTTTGAGATGTTATAAAATTTTTAGTTTTGGATTTAAAAGTCACTTTCACTTTCTATAGTTTTCTATACAGTTTGTAGATTCTACAAACTACGATTTCAATACAGTTTCAAGTGGCATTTTTCAAGAACGTTGCTATGCGTACTTTCTGGATCTTCATTTCAAACAAAAAAATGAAAATTAACGTACCCAATAAATACAGGTGCCATTGTCGGCGAAAGCGCCGTCAGCAACGGCCTCTTCTTCCATTCGACGCTTTTATTTATCCTGAAAAATCATTTTAATTTTTTTTGAAGAAGGACATCGAGACACGAAAAAACTGCTGATTAAGAGGAATCAGACTGCTTTGTGGTTTTGGAAAAGATGAAACATTTCTGCGAATTTCCTACTTTGCTCAAAAATATTTTTGGGGAATACAAGGTCAAGGAATTTAACGGAAAATTCATATATGATCCGATCACCCGGTAAAATTAGGCAAGCGAGAAATCTTGTTTGGATTATCGCGAATATTTGGATCTTCTCATGTTTCAGGGATGAAACATTAATTTTTGGAAAAATTTTGATCGTACATACTTTGCGAAATGATACATGGTTGTCGAAAACGCCTTTTTTCGTTCATCCGGTATTTTTATTAGTCTTGAAAATCATCATTTTAGTAAGTCTTCTATCTAAATCGGTAAAATGTAACCCATACGGGACCTCTAACGAAAGAATAAGTGGCGGAGAAGACCAGAATCATTGTGAAACTTCTTTATTTCATGACTATTTGGATCGCAAAACATTGGCCAAAATTCCTATTTTGAAACCCGAGCCTTTGATAAAATAAATTTTTCACATAATGAGTCTCAACAAAATCAATTTCGACTAAATTAAATGTTCGCATAGTGACTATTTTTACGAAATTAATTTCGCCTTACGAACCGCAAACCGGCGGTAAGCATTGCAATTTTTAGCGGATAGCGTATTTAGCGAATAATCGAATCCATAGCCGGGAACTATTCATCTAGTCATTAGTGATGGTTCCGAAATAACTACCGATGATGTCAAAGAATTATTGACAAAAAAAGCCTGCCCATTGTATTCAATTCCAAAAAGTTTATATTCGTTATGGATGAAACAAACTTTTTGCAAATGAATTTTTCAAGCGTAGTATGCCACACAATCGCGACAAAAGGACATCTGTTAAAATCCATAGTTAAAGATTAAACCTATGCCTTGCCGGCCCCTTTAAAGCGAAAAGCTGCGGCTAGGCTGGAAGGAGGTGTGCAATGGATGAAATACCCCGAAAATGATTTCCTATACCGGCTCACTTTCCGGGAAGGCGTCTTAAATTGAATTGAGAGCCCATAACCGGGTGTCTGGGCCGTCGAGTGGAAAACAGCATGGAAATGGAGTTGGAAATTTGTAGAAACATGAAAAACATACATACAAAAAATGGGAAAACGAGATACGGAAAAGGTAAAACCCCGACTTACTGGCTCCGTGAAAAATCAATAAATTGTCGCTAACAATGGGCCGGTTTCTTGGCATGCGTAGAAGTAAATCAAACAAAGCTGCCATTTGCGTAAAATTATGTTCGAAAAAATGTTTCGGTGAAATAGGAGTTAAAAAGTTAACCGGTAAACTGAATGGTTCGCTGCAAAAGGAACAAATTTTCTCCAAATAGGGGATCTTCTTAGATTTTGATGCGTGCAAGATATCAAATTTCAGGCCTATCAATTGGCGTAAAATTAGTTTTAATACATTTAACGCAATTTATTCTCAATTCATTAATTCAGGGCGTGAAAATGATTTAGAAAAATCCGTGTAAATAAAAATTAACATTTCCAAAAGTTCTTTATTTGTCAGGAACCAGAAAAAGTTTTTGCAAAGAAAACAGTGGAAAATGAAAAATTCTGATTCACAAAGAACTGTCCCTGGGGGGTTCCACTAATTGATTGTTTGAGAGTATCAAGAGCAAAACGTACATTCACTAAAACACATTTTTTAACGCTTGCCAAAGGTAAATTTTCTGCAAATATGGTTTGATCCGGGAGGTGTGCACTTTCTAGGCTTCACTTTCTGACCTTTATATTACGAAATCGAAGGATTTTGCCATTCTTTAAATCTGGTGCTTGGTGAATAACAATTATTCTAGTTTGCGCTAACTACAAGGCATAAATTTGTGAAACATAAAAATTTAGGACAACGAAAAGCGCTTTGGGAAAGGCCGTTTAGATCCACCTTTTATTAGTTGACAATCACTTTAAGCCAGCAATTAATTTTTCAGAAACATCTTATTCTCAAAAAGAATTTTTCAAAGATTGAAATGATCCGTGTGAGAAAAATTTGTAGGATCATCCCATTTTCTTTTTTTTATCATACGCAAGCAAAGCAAATATTCGTGGAAGCTTCATGTGGACGCCAATAATTCATTACACGCTACCGAGCACGCGGTATTTTTGAAACATAAAAATTGAACGCGGGGAGCTGTCTCAAGTTTTCAAACCGACTGTGTGGATGAATTCAAGCTTGTTTTCAACCCGTCTTATTCAAACTCCTCTCAAAAAAATTACAGAAAAATATTTCGTTGGAGTCGCACTGGGAGGTTTTTGAGCTTGAGTAATAGGCGATCAAATCGACACCAAAGATTTAACAGTTCAACTAAAAACTCATTAAATTTTTGAAATCATGTCAGAATGCCATGCTGATTAATGTATATCTCCTACTACAAATGAAAAGTACATTTTTTGAAACACTTTCTACAGATGAAAGCCAGTTTCAAAGAATCAGGTAAGCTCCGAATTTGTGAACTTTTCAAACTCGCTAGTTTCGGGGATGGGGGGGGGGTTTGGGATGCTGACTCGAGTCTCCAGGTGCATTTTAAATGCTTTTTCTAGAGGGAAGCGAGAGAGAGAGAGAGAGAGAGAGAGAGAGAGAGAGAGAGAGGGTGAGAAAAAGGGAGAGAGCGAGAGAGAGTGATGTTTCCAAATTTGTGTGTTTCAATGAATCGCTAAACGGGAGGTTGGGGTGGGTTGGTAATTAACTCAATGGCAGTTGGTCACATAATGCATTAATAACCAAGTTACTTCCTCTAGAGGCCATTCTTGTATGTAGAGTTTAAAGGGACCAGAAAGTCAAAGGCCACTTCTCCATATCCGGATAATCTTTATCGGCGATCGGCGATAACGGATTTTCTAGCTTGCAATTTAATTTAAACGAATAAATGTTCTAAATCAATGGTTTATTTTTTTTAATTGATGGTCGCCTATCGACATCTGCAATTTATGCAAAATAATTCAGATCCTTTAATTTTTAGGTATTAAAAATTTTTGTCACTTTCGGGTGCCTTTAAAAACCTTTGAAATTAGCACGACAATCCGGGTACGGTAATCGTCCTTAGGTTCAGCACGGTATCTCTACATTCGCAAGTAGAGAGTTTCCCCATGGGAGAGAGAGAGAGACGGAGAGAGAGAGTGACAGAGAGAGAGGGATAGAGAGAGAGCGAGAGAGAGATAGAAAGAGAGAGAGAGATAGAAAGAGAGAGAGAGAGAGAGAGAGAGAGAGAGAGAGAGAGAGAGAGAGAGAGAGAGGGAGAGAGAGGGAGAGAGAGGGAGAGAGAGAGAGAGGAGAGAGAGAGAGAGAGAGAGAGAGAGAGAGAGAGAGAGAGAGAGAGAGAGAGAGAGAGAGAGAGAGAGAGGGAGAGAGGGAGAGAGAGAGAGAGAGAAAGCGAATCAGGTCCGAATTAAGGGCCGCGAATGTTTATACAAATTAAGGGCCCCTTGGGTTTAAAATTAATCCGCTGCTAATTCTTCTCAAAAATTGGGATGAAATTCAGGAATCCATTTCATTGCCGTTTTGCCATAAAAACATGCCGTTCTTGGCGAGCATAGGGTAAAATCCGCAGGTTCTTGCGACATTATTGGGAACGCATCTCGCAGAGAAACCTCAAACCGTGAAACTTCAGGTTTCAAAAATGTTCAGATTACGAATACTGAAGGCTTGCTAACAAGTTTTAATAATTAGGTTAATACAAAATAAAAATAAAACTTTAAAAATCGCCTTGTCTCGACAGAGTCGCCCGAGACTAGTGCAAGGATTAGCGAACAAGCAGTTCTCTAGTGATCCAAGAAAATTGAAACATCTAATCGTCAAATAGCTGCTCGTCTAAATTATGAACAAGCGTGATAGGCATAATTTTAATTCTGTAATAACCTAGCAAAAAATCCATTGATTGAATTAGGAGAAGACACGGGTATTTTATGAATGAAAATTTGGACCACTTTTCAAAAAATTTCAGAGCTGCCATTACAAAATTAGAGCAAACATCATTCCACGACCGACTACCGAGACCGCCAAGCTGGAAAATCACCCAGTAAGCGAAACAGACGTTTACAAAGCAAAATTTTAAAGCTTTGCGCGGTTAAACCCGTTTAGTAAAATAGTCCCAGAAATAGAATTTTAAAAATTACAATGGAGGTTTTATGCATAATCGAAAGTTACAAAAAGCATAATGAAAAATTTCCCACAATTATCCAATGAAATATTTTCAGAACATTACATTTTCTTGCAACACAACTTTTTCGAGGGCAAGGCTAAAAATCGAAGGGTTGCCAGCCGGGCGGTAATTACCTTATGTTGGGGGGTCAGATGTGCCCTTAGGGTATATTAAGAGAGGAGGGGAGGGAGGGGGATATGAAATGAGATTATTTAGAAGAGAAGGGGTAGCAGAGGGTACATGCATACCTAGACACGGCACGACTGATGCTGATTTTTGATCCTCATCATGAATCATGCGTGGCGAAAACATCGCAAGACTGGAGGGGGTGGCTGGCAGAGATTTTCGGGGAAAAATCGTCCACGCTTTTTTAGAGATAACCAGGGAGGTTTTTATGCAATATCGGGGTAGGGCCGAACTTCGAAACTTCTGTCTTTAAACTAACTTTAAATTCCGTTTTTTTAAATGATCAGATCAGAATGGCTAATAAGGCTGGGTAGCAGTGATTGTTTCGGAAAGTAATCTAACAGAAAAGTGGCAACGAGGGGGGCTGTCTAGCCGAGATTCTTTAGGAAGCATAAAAATATTTGCGAATGGCCTACTAGCAGAGATTTTTAAGGAAAACAAGGAATAACGCGCCTCGGTCTGCGGAAAAAATACTAAAAATTATTGTAAAAGGGTAGTACTAGTAGAGATTCTTTAGAAATTCCTGGCAATTCCAGGTAGCATGAATTCTTTAGGAAAAAGGACTAACACCCGTTCTCGGGAAAAC